ATCTCCAGGGGCCCAGTTCCAAGCCCCCCCCCCCACGGATGTTGAAAAATTTTCTCCTTTTCTCCCGTCCTTGGCAGCCAGCCTCAGCCAGTCGGCCTTCCTGTCTCTGAGATACGACGAAGACCTGGACGAGGTCAGCTCTGCCTCTTCGGCCGCCCCGTCCTTGGAGAACGAGGACCTGGTTCAAATCGCCGATCGCGAGGAGCAGGAGGACGTGGCCCCCCTCCCCGTGCCCCGCCACGCCCCCGTGGTCCGGACCCCCTCGATTCAGCCTGGGCTGATGTCGCAGCCCCTTCCTCTCGGCAAGCCCCAGATCCCAGCGGGAGCTTTAAGTGAGTCCTGTTGTAGAACGGTCGTTCTCCATTTTATGGGAGAGGAGGATCAGATTCCCAGTTTCTTCCAACACGGCACTTTCCTTATGTTTTCGTAACTCGATTTTCTTACATCCTATGTCATTAGGATTTTGTTTTGGGCTTTTAAAAAAAAGCCAGGTTTTATGGTTGAGAAGCCAAAGGTGCTTTTAGATGTAGGACTCCTAGCCAATCAAGAGGCATTAAGTAGCTAGGAATGTAAAAATCCTCCTTATATTGATCCTAATCCATCCAGACTGAGTATCGACCAATGCCTCTGATTGGCAGGAGAATCTCTTCAGGATTTCAGGCAGGATCCTGGCAACAGGGATTTTGCTGGAGACTGGAACATCTTAAACTGTTGTTTAATTTCACGTGGTCCTAACTGAAAATCTTAGAGTGGCTGTTTAAAAAAGGGGGGGGGGTTTGCGATGCTGTGTGAATCTCAAGGGCTGTTCGCACCTAATGGGGAGAGTCGGGGAGAGCGTTTTCAGCAGACTGCCTTGATCCATTTACTGAATTAATACGTCTGTTGGAACGGAAGTGGAAATTGTGTAGCACAGTTTGCAGAGATGTTGGTGTAGCAGAATAATTACTGTGAGTGTCCTCAGAGGACCCCTTCCTTTCTTCTCGGGAATGTATAGTTGTAATAATCACAAACATTGCCTGCAGGCCTTGGGGGGGGCTTGTTTTCAGGTTCCCAACAAGTAGTTCATCATATCATGCAGCAAAATTTTATTATTCTTATTACTTTTTGACCTGGGAGAGGTTTTCAGGAGCCAGCTGTTTGGCCTGCTAGTATGTTGTCACTTGATATTTCGTTCTCCGAATTTTCGGTCTGCAGGAATGAGCCATCCGGATAGGGGTTAATCCAATTCGCGCTTGGAGCGAAAGGGGACGGGCGGGATTCAAGCTATGTCGTGTTCAGTCTACTGTCTCTCCTGGCTGGTGACAGGGTTAATACCTTCCCCGATGACTCCAGCCTTCAAACAGAGATCACTAGATTGTGCAGGAGGGCTTTTTTTCAGTTCAGGGAACCGTTTTGGAAAAGATCAGGGGCGGATTGAGGGTGGGACCAGCCTTCTGAGGCCTTTGGATATGCAGGTGGCGCCCCCAGACGTCTGGAGGCTTGCCAACCCCCTGCGTTACTCCTACATCCAGCTTTTCCCCTCCTACACCACTCCCATTTTATCTGCACAACAACCCTGTGAGGTAGATCAAGGTAAGACGTTAGAATTAGCTGAAAAACTGCCAGTGAGGTGTAGGATTTGAACTTTTATCTGCACAACAACCCTATGAGGTAGATCAAGGTAAGACATTAGAATTGGCTGAAAAAACTGCCAGTGAGGTGTAGGATTTCAATTCTAGTCTCTTCCGGTCTGGCTCTCTTGTGGATACCCACCCTGGTCGTGGTTCGTTCAGGACATGAGACTCAGATTTCCATCATTTGCTTCTTGAATGAGGTGTGTGACTCTTCCCTTCCCCCTGCCCTTCCTCTCAGCAGCCACCCCGAAAATCATCCCCCAGGGGGCGGACAGCACCATGTTGGCAACCAAGACGGTGAAGCATGGAGCGCCCGGGCCGTCGGTCACCCTCCCGGCACCTCAGGCAGCCGCGGAAGCAGCCCTGAGGAGGCAGATGGCGAACCAGAATCCAGGTGAAGTGGCGCTTCGGCTAGAAAACACGGGCCCCGGCCGGCCCGGTCGTTGGGCAATGTGAGGCAGATGCTTCAGGCAGCAGCGGGGGTGGAGGGGCGCACGGCGAGTGACGAGAGTTTCAGGTTGCCTGCCTTGTTCCCCATGAAAGTTTATTTAACGTGCTGTTTTCCATTGCGGTGGGTCAACAAGGTGCCAGAGCGCATCGAGCAATTAAGTATCAACAGAAGAAGGCGAAGCTTTGCAGTGAGTCTGCGGTGTTGATGAAACCGTTCCAGAACAGATCATGGCGGAGGGGAACTCGTGTGTCCCCCGTCAGCAGTCTTGAAATAGTTTTGGCCAAGCACTGATTGCTCAGCGTCGGTGACGCCCTCGACGCAGCACATACTTCGTTGTTGAGCATATCCGGATGACGTGCATGTGTGTGCGCGCACAGTGGGGGATTGACCGCCGCTGTTGAGTTGACAGGCCCCTCTTTTTTCTTTCCCGGCAGCCGTCGTGACTTCCTTGACAGAGTCGACTTTGAAGAATGTCCTTCAGGTGGTGAACGTTCGAGAACTCAAGAATAACGCTTCTCCGCCGGCGGTTTCTGCCGTCATCGGGTGAGCGAAGGCTTCTCCGTCATGAAATTGCTTTGAGCAATTTCGTGCCCTCCTGGCCTTTCGTATCCCGACTCCAATCATCCCACAGCCGGCCATTGCTACCAGTGAGATGATGGCAGTTAAGGGCCAGCATGTTTTGAAAGCTCCAGAGTGGGGCCGCCGATTCGCCTGCTCGTCTTTGCTCAGAAACAGCAAGCGTGTGACGTTCAGCGGCATAGTTAACTTGCCCGCCCGATGCTTTCTTGATTCACCCTTAACTTGCGGCCATAAAAATACAGGCCACTGACTTTGACCTTCCCGTTTCATGAGAAGGTGCTTCGTCCAGGCTTTTATCCGAGCCTTGGTACCAAGAGCCTTGCGTAGCAAAACAGGGCGACAGGTCCTTACATCTTGCAGGATCCGGGGAGATCCATTTTGATTTCACGGTTATAATCAGAAGCAGCGACAAATGTTTCGGCTGCCCCAGGCAATGCCCACCCTGATCTCTTACGCTTTCAAATAGCATTTAGAGTCTCCTTAATGCTTTCCTCTGTTGCTTATATCATGCTGTGTGTAGGCTGTTGCTGGTGCTGTTCTTTTTTTTTTAATTTGATGCAGGTGGATTTTTTTATGTAGTATTCTTTCACGGATTAATTAAATAAGTCTGGGCACAAATTAATATGAGTGGCAGTTTGGTGCCTGTTTTCCTAATAGCTAAAAGGCATTTCCCTTGATTTCCCTTCTCGCGAGAGAATGACTGCGAGGAAGGGGAAAGGCAGGATACTGGATCATGCAGAGAGTCTGCGGGTAGCATTCTCTGTGGCTCTCACAGAGTTCTTCGTTATTATTGATGTTGTTGTTGTTGATTAGATTTTAACATTCTCCTCCCTACACTTTTCCAGGTCGTCAGTGCCTCACTCCGCCGCTCAAGCTGTCCACCAAGTTCTGACGATGGTGGTCACAAATCAAGACCCTCAGGTATTGTCTGTGGCTTGACGCCGTCCTCGGGCGAGCATTGTGTGTGTGCACGTCTGTGTTTTTCGATAGCACCGTTCTAGCCAAAAGACAGATGATAGGCCTACGTTGAATACTTCAGTTGTACACAAGCAGTGGGGGGAGGGAATCAAAGAATCCTGTTCTTGATCTGCTGGTCTTGTTGGCCCCGACACCCCGTCCCGTATCTGTGTTTTGTCTTCTCCCGGACGTCTTGTTTATCCCTCCGTCGGCCAAGGCGGCTGCTGAGCTGGTTGTAGCCTTGGCTGGCCCTCTTGTTTTGGAAAGGTTAGGCTGACAGAGCAAAGCAGAGAAAAGATGAAGGCTGTTGAGGTGCCCAAGGTCCTTTTATGCACCCTTTTTTCTCCCACAAGCAGGGCAGCTGCCTGGGGGGCGGGGAGCTGAATTGCACAATTGCACTGTGTTTTGTTTCTCTCGATCAAACGAGACTTGGGACTTCTTCGTTCCTCCTTTCTTCTTCCTTCTTCCTTCCTTAATTTGTGCTTAGCCGTTGAAAATGCAGAATAATGTCCCCGTAAGCTTCCAGAGGGGGTGGGATTCTTGAGCTGAAATGAGACACCTTCCCCTGCACCTCATTCTGGCAAATGCAGAATAATGTCCCCGTAAGCTTCCGGAGGGGGTGGGATTCTGAGCTAAGATGAGACACCTTCCCTTGCACCTCATTCTTGCTCTCGGAATAGTCCCCAAACTGTAGCTCTCTTCCCCCGCCTGCTCCCCCTGACATGGGCAGCCCTATTCTGTCCAGGGTGCTTCCCCTCTCACCCCACCCTCTAGGGCTGACAGTCAGAAAGGTTGGCTGAGGTATCCCAAAACCTTTGGAGAAGCCCCAGTTTGGAAACGCCTGTCCAGGGTGCTTCGGCCTTCCCCTCTCTCCCTACCCTCTAGGGCCGCCAGTCAGAAAGGCTGGCAGAGGTATTCCCAAAAACTTTGGAGAAGCCCCAGTTTGGAAACACTGCTCCAGGACTTGGCGTCCATGGCCAGAGGTCCGGATGCCGTGAAGAAGAATTCTCCTCTAACCTGAGCTGCTTCCTTTCTATATGCAGGGCAAGATGTTCCATCTGTTTTTTTGCCTTCTCATGCGTTCATTCCAGCGTAGCACATTAGAGCAAGGGTGCACCCTCCGTTTGTCTGTCTGTCTCTCTCTCTCTCTCGCTCCTAATGACCACGGTCCCTGACGGTGTCTGTTCTTGCGCCTCTAGGGCTGACAGTCAGAAAGGTTGGCTGAGGTATCCCAAAACCTTTGGAGAAGCCCCAGTTTGGAAACGCTGCTCCAGGACTTGGCGTCCATGGCCAGAGGTCTGGATGCCATGAAGAAGAATTCTCTAACCTGAGCTGCTTCCTTTCTATGTGCAGGGCAAGATGTTCCATCTGTTTTTTTGCCTTCTCATGCGTTCATTCCAGCGTAGCACATTAGAGCAAGGGCGCACCCTCCCCTCTGTCTGTCTCTCTCTCTCTGGCTCCGGCTCCTAATGACCACGGTCCCTGAAGGTGTCTGTTCTTGCACGTTTCCCTCCATTGTTGTGGGACCTGTCTGGTGTTTAACACCCCCCCCTTGGCGGCTGCCTATTTCTTGACCAAACTCTTCCATTTCATGTCCTTCAGGGACCTCCAGCGGGCTCTTTTAAGGCTCAGCCTCTTCCCGGCTCCACGTCACCAGGAGTGGCAACCGTCGGGCAGATCTCGGCTGGGAAAAAGACCTCCGGTGAGTTTGAGCCTGTCGGTCCTTTGTCGTCCAAACAGCTCTGCCGCTTCCTGGAATGCGCCTGACTTCGAGGATGTGTCAAGGCGGCAGAAGCTCCCTTTCCACAAGGACGGGATGGTTTGATGTGCCACTGGGCCCCACGCCACAAAATCTCCTTCTGCTTTTTTGCACACTCCTTCCGATCCCAGCACCTCCTCCTTTGTTCAGTTGCTGAAAGCTTTCTCAAGGAAGTCCCTCTTCGCGATCCACTGTGTCAGGTGCAATCTGCAACAAAATGTTGCAGCACAAAGTGTTCTTGTGCCTTGTTCCGGTCAGCCAGCTGTGCCCTCTGTTCCTCCCCCCGCCCCCCAGTTGTCCATCCACACCCCATTGCAATCAAATCAAAATCCGGTTGCCACTGAACATGCTTTTGGGGGTATTTTGTGGTGGGTGAATATTCTTTACCCCCCCCTACAGGAGCTTTCCCCCTACCAAAAAAGGATGCTTTGAACTTTTATAGATCAGCTTTTGAAGGGAGCTAATTGTATAGGTCCCTCTGGAAATGCCAGGTGTCCAATCTGACCAAGCTTTTTCTCCCCATTTTGAAGGCTTGTGGTTAGGGTGACAGTTTCAAGAAGATGCTTGCCTGAGGTGGCTCCCGAGCTTTTCGTGTGCCCTAAAAGAAAATTCATTTCCCTTGGAGTGGGGTTGCGAGAGGAGAAGGGAGGGTTTCAAGAGGAGAAATACGAGCCACAGGCACTGCTTTGCCCTGTTTGGAACCAAGGTAGTTAATAGTCAGTCCAGAAGGTCCCCCATCTTTGGAAAGGTGGCCGTGAGATGCAGAGCGCATTTCTCTCTTTGGTAGGCCGGCGGTGTGTGTTTTCTCACAACTCTCTGTTCCTGCTGCCGTTTCAGGACAAGGGCTGATGAAGGCCTTGACCACTGAGGCGGCTTCTTCTACGACAGCCACGCCAGTAACGGCTGCCCAGTTCAACAAGCCGTTCACGTTTGCCTCCGCGGGGTTAGTATGACCTCTTCCTTTAGCCCTTTCGGGTTTGAATTTTCTTTCCTCCTTCTCCCTCTGCCCCTCATCTCATGCCTCTGTGTTGTGCAGCCGGCTTGGGGCTTCAGAGCGAGGGAGAGGCCAGGTGGGTGTATCCCCCCCCGGTTCTGGTGTGTCCAACTGGCTCAAGCCTCCTGCTTTCCTGTGTCGGCTCCCTCCTCTTGCCGAACACTTGTGATGATGAATAATGAAAAGGGGGAACCGTGCAGGCAGCTTCAGATTCCCGAATACGTCTCTCTCCCTCATCGAACCCCTCCTTCCATCTCGGGACGCAGTGGACCACCGTTCACTTTGGCTTGAAACATCCGATCCAGTATTCAGACACTGAACAGAGACCACAAGAAGCTCGCCTGCCGAGCGCCTTCGCGGTGGATCTCGTCCGTCTGCGGCTTTCGGATGATGCTTGCACCCTGACCCCCAGCAGCCAGCCTCCCTCCCTCCCTTTGCTCTTTGTTGCGAATGCTTATCATGCGTGTGGATGCCTCACGTTGTCTTCCTCTGTTTTTCTGATCAAGGTCTGGGCTCAACTTCACGGCAGCCACTTCTTCCCCGGCAGCTTCAGGCTCTGCAGGTTTGCAAGGTCAGTTTTCTGCAAGAGGCGCGATGGGACCAGAGAACCGGAAGGGTCAGGATGGCACCACAGAGTGGGGAATCTCCTAAAAATATTCTTTGTGCCCTCGGGTATTTTGTCTCAAGGTCGTAGATCTCCTTTTCTAAATCAAGCCAGCAGTGCTCCTAGTAAAAAAGGACGACGAGCCGAATTTCCCATCTCTGAGAGTGGAAGCAGCCGCCTTGAGACAACCCAGGCCCCTGACGTGGCTGCCCAGACAAGCGGATCCTCCGTTTGGGGGGCCTTGAGTGACCGGGGAGGCGTCCTCCGTCCGGCCACCGTGGGAAGCAGGATATGTTGCCCCAGAGAGACTTCTGGAAACAGGATGTCCGGCTAGAATGGGGGTCCCCCAGGTGTTCTCAGACAGCAACGCCCAGAAGTCCTGGCCAGCCCAGCAAGTGGCGAAGGCTTCTGGGTGTTGTAGTCCAAGAACATCTGGGGAGATCCCAGTTTGAGAACCCCTGGGCTGCTCTTCCACTACTCACCAGGAGGGCTTGTGCAGCCAGTCACCCCCCGCGCGGCGATCCCTAGACCTTGCGGAGGTGCAGTAGGCAACCTCTTTTGTGGGTCGGGAGCTGGGGCTTCTAAGAGCCTCAGAATCTTTTGTCCGTTCAGTTCGGGAATGGCTGGAAGAGTCTTCCTTATAAAGGGAGGGTGCGGAAGGTTGAACCGGGGTCCTTCTGCGCAGGCCTTGAGGGAGAGTTTCAGGGCCGAAAGCTGCTCTAGAGAAGGAGAACAGAGGAGCCTCCCCTTCTGACCTGTGCCCCTTTTGTCTCTCTTCTGCCTTGGCAGCCACTGCCGCCCTGCCTACCAAGGAGCCGAGCCAGCCTGACGCCTTTCCCCTCGGGGAGAAGAGCACCTTCGGGACCGCTCCGGAGAACTCCTTCGCTTTGGGGCCCCCCAGCCCCCCCAGCGCTTTGGGAGGCGGTGCGGAGAGCAGCGGCTCTGGCGATGTGTGCCCGGCGAACGGCCCAAGCGCGTCCGCCTCCGTTCCTCCGGCCGCCCCCAAGGAGAACAGAGGAGCCTCCCCTTCTGACCTGTGCCCCTTTTGTCTCTCTTCTGCCTTGGCAGCCACTGCCACCCTGCCTACCAAGGAGCCAAACCAGCCTGACGCCTTTCCCCTCGGGGAGAAGGGGACCTTCGGGACCGCTCCGGAGAACTCCTTCACTTTGGCGCCCGCCAACCCCCCCAGCGCTTTGGGAGGCGGTGCGGAGAGCAGCGGCTCTGGCGATCTGTGCCCAGCAAACGGCCCAAGTGTGGCCGCCTCCGTTCCTCCTGCCGCCCCTGCCAGAGTGGAGAGCTTTCTGTCGAAACGAGGCGACCCTCTTTTCCAGGGCCCGGTGGCGGGAGAAACTCTGGGGAGCTTTTCTGGACTAAGAGTCGGCCAAGCGGACGAGACCGGCAAAGTGGCCTCTTCCAAACCTCCCTCCGCTCCCGCTGCGGGCAGCCAGGTCCCCGAAGATGCCGCCATGGTGCCTTCTGGATTTGCCCTCCCAGGCAAGGGGTCGGAGGCCGCCACGGCCCCCCCAGCGTCGACGGCTCCTTTGTCATCTTCCGCCGCCACCACCGGCAGCATCTTTGGCGACGTCCAGGTGGTCATGACGGGGCCTCCTGGCACTTTTGGCCTCGGGGCGTCCACGGGCCCCCCAAAGTCCTTGTTTGCGTTTGGCGTCCGGGCGACCACCGCCGCACCTGCCTCGGCCGCTCCCTCGGCTCCTCTTCCGGCCACGACGACGCTCTCCTTCGGAAGCCTGCTGAGCTCAGCGCCACCAGCCACCGTCTCGTCGCAGCTGGAGAAAGAAGAGGACGAGGCGAAGACTACGCTGGCGCTGGAGCAGCCGGTTCAGAGCGAGGGGGCCGGGGCGGCGCTGTCGCCTCCAGCACCGTCGCAGCCTCTGGAACCTGCGCAAGAGCTTGCCCCCCCTTCGCCGGCAGAAGGCGAGGCGGGAAGCCCAGCTGCCTCTTCGCCGGACCCGTCCGCCAAAGATGTCCCTCCGCCCGCTACTTCTCTTGGCCCAAAGGCTGAAGCAGCCCCGGGGGTCACTGCCTCAGACCAGCTCCCTCCGGCGACCTCGGCACCAGCCAACGCGGCCCCCCAGCCGGAAGAACCCGCCAGCCCGTCCGCCAACCCGAGTACTGCGCCCCTCCAGAGTCCGGCGACAGGAGCCTCTGCGTTTACGGCCACCACCGTCACCGCCAGCCCTTCCGTCTTTGTGCAGCCGGCCGTCTCGAGCGCCGCCTCTTCGGGCTCTGCCTTCAGCCAGCCGGCGGCCGACCCAGCAGCCACCCCGGTCTTTGGCCAGCTCCCCCCAGTGGCGACCACCTCCTCGTCGCCGTTCGGCCAACCCCCCGCGGCCACCCCAGCCTCCACCTCCACGGTGGCCACTCAGGGGGGAACCACCGGGTTTAACGCCTCCGCCTTTGGGGCTACCACCATGTCCGGCTTTGGCCAGCCGGCCTTCGGGCAAGCCCCGGCCTTCGGGCAAGCAGCCAACACCTCCGGCGGCTTCACGTTCAACCAGGTGGCTTTTGGGTCCACTCCCACCTTCGGGCAGGCGGCCTCCGCCCCCGCCCCCCCGGCTTCCAGCAGCGGGGGCGTCTTTGGGGCCCCCTCCAGCACCAGCACCACCAGCTCCTTCTCCTTTGGACAGCCTTCCTCCACCCCTGGGCCCTTTGGCCAAAGCACCACGCCGGCCTTTGGGCAGAGCTCCAGCTTTGGACAGACGGGGTCAGTCTTTGGCGCCACAACCACCTCCGCCGCATCTGCGACGGGATTCAGCTTTTGCCAGGCCTCAGGTGAGGAAGCCGGCGTGGACAGGGCCCCAAAGCGCTCGGAGCAATACTGGTCTTAAAAATGTCCGTAACTCAGCACTAATATGCTCCCTCTTTCTCTCCTCCGCCCCTGTTTCTCCTCCCTTTCCAGCCTTTGGTTCTAGCAGCCCGGGCACCGCGTTCGGGCAAGCATCCAGCACCAGCGGCAACCTCTTTGGCCAGGTGAGACCTTCTTTTAGCGTGCGCCCGCCTCATTAAAAAAAGTAAATAAAAGAAAAAAAAATCTGCAAAACAATCCTTAGTTCTGGTTTAGGAGGAAAGAATCTCCTTGATGCTGAAACACTGTTTGTTCAAAGCAGTCAACTCACATTACAGTAAATCAGAAAAGCGCCAGGAAGTTTTGCATCTAGACGTCAGGGACACTAGATGTAATGGCAACAGCCGTATCTTAAAACACTTTTACAAGGTCATTCAACAAACCCACGGAGTTGGGAAAGCCAACAACTATTCCATACGGCGATGAAGTCTAACCTCCGTGTTCAGGGACAGTCGTAACGACATCTTAGGGTCGTAATTTTGATCGGCAACTTAATTTTTCCTTAATAGTAAACCGTTTTCAAGAGTAAGGGTTGAAACACAACTTTTAAATCGCCCAAATAAAGAATCTTTCACATACATCTGAAAACAGTTGGCTGAAAAGTAAAGAGGAGGAGATATCAAAATTTTCATTTGGAACTGTCCGCGAGTGTGGGCCTTGGTAAATTCAGTCTTTTTGAATCCTGGACCAAATCCGGGGATGGGGGTGGGTTGAGCAAAGTTGCTAGTCCTCATTGAGGTGTCTCTGACCGTTAGGTGCTCAAGAACCCTTTCTGACCCTGCCAAAACAGAGTCTCTCAAAACAATTTTACCCTCTTTTTTGGGGGGGGGCTGTGATCTTTGCAGCAGACCTCGTCCAGCGGGGGGCTGTTCGGGCCCGGAAGCAGCGCGGGGAGAGGTGGAGGCTTCTTCAGCGGCCTGGGAGGAAAACCAAGCCACGAGGCGGCGAACAAGAATCCTTTCAGTTCCACCAGCGGAGGGTTCGGCTCGTCGGCCACGCAGAGTAAGTAGGCCGTTGGGGGGTTGCGTTTTTTTCCTGCCCCGGCGGTTCTTCTGGTTTACGTGGATCTGTTGCGTCCCCATTAACGCTTGTTCACCCGCTCGGTGGCTGCAGCGTTGCGGGGACAGCCTGTGTGAGCATGAACCAAACAGCCTATTCAACATTGTCAGCTTGGCAGGGGGAGTGATAGTGCCAGAATAAATGCATAATCAGGACGTCTCCTCCCCCCCCAAAAAAATCTTCCTCTGCTTTAATATCGTCATCAGATTGGCAAGAACCTGGAAAGTGGATGGTCCGTGATGATTTGTGGTCAAGGTTAGCCATGAGCCACAAACCAACTGGAAAACCGAACTGGTTTGCAGCTGAGCCAGAACGTGTCGGTCTTAATTCTGAATAAAGTGCACGCTGTAGTTTTTACGTTCCCGCGACCAGAATCTCCTCTTGCGTCGCATCGTTAATGCAAGGGGCCTTAAGTTTCTTCCGCGTGAAAGCATGGTGTCTAAAGGAACTCTTTTTATGTCCTTTTACATCTTGTCCCGGTTCTGATCAGGCCTGTACGTGCACACGCACGCACACACACACAGACACGCCCTAGACCTTTGCCAGGGAAGTCCGTTTTCCTCCGTGTCTTGCGCCAACGTCTCTCCTTTCCCCCTGCCCCAGATACGTCCAGCCTTTTTGGAAATAGTGGGGCCAAGACCTTTGGGTTTGGCACCACCTCCTTCGGGGACCAGAAGCCGATGGGCACCTTCAGCTCCGGCGGAGGCAGCGTGGCGTCTCATGGCTTTGGGTTCGCCAGCCCGACCAAAGCAGGTATTCCGCTTGGGCCATCTCCTTTGTTGTGATGATGCACCAGGGCAGAGCCGTCTTTGGGGCAGGAGGTGGGCGGAAAAAAAGAAGAGGAAAAAAACCCAACCCTCTCCTCCCAGGGGGAGGGAGATTTCCCTGTGCGGTGAGCCCAGGGATCGCCGGGCGAGTCCCTATATTGGAGCCAGCGCCCTGAGCCTCATGGCACAGGGGTTCAACTGCAGCCAGAACTCTGCTCACCCCCCGGGTAGCCGTCTGGAGGTCAGCTCAGCCTTCCATCCTTCCAAGGTCGGAAAATTGAGAATCCAGATTGCTTGGAGGGGGGGAGAGATCACTGTGTAGCCTGCCTAAATTAAGTGGCAAACTGCCCGGAGAGTCCTTTAAACACACTCGTCTTTCAACGAGTGGGAAAGGAAATTTGGAGTTTACCCAGAAACCGGGTATAAGCGAAAGAGGCAGGCCAAAGGAAATCGAGATGCTTTGGGGGACCTGGTGGGAAAAAGAATAAAAAGTCAGTGGTTCAAAAGAGTCATCAGGCGAAGAAGCGTGACCCGCCTCCGTCCAGCTGGGTGAAATCAGCCTCGTGGAATTCCCAAGAAGGGGAGCCAATGCGTGGGCACCCGCTGTTCTCCGGCCAAGGGAGGTGGGCATAAAATGCCAGCCGTTAACTTGGATATTTCCCTGCAGCATCGGCTGCATTGCTTTCTAGACAGGTCTTTGCTTTTTTAAAAAAATATGAAAATAAACTACAAATCCCACAGCCCGGGCAAACGATGCCAACTTGGCACATTGAAGTTGTTTTTGCATCCATTGCTCAGCTCTGGGTCTTCCCAGAAGCGCAGAGCAATTAACATTCAGGAAAATGTGCTTCTTGAGGTTTTGTGTGTGTGTGTGTTCACAAACCTGAGGACTAGAAGCATGAATCTGTCTGGGGGGGGGAATTAGGGTATGGATCTAATGAATGAATTAAAAACTCGCTTGTCTTCGTTCGTTCTACATTGGATCCTTAAAGCTGGAAATGAAAACGTTTGTCCTTTTGCTGCAGCTATGGTGGGTTTGTCTTGGGAGGTCCCTGGGGGGGGCGTACCTCACTCTTTTCAGTGTCGCTTCTCAGAAATTGTGACTGATAGTGACGCAAACTTTATTTGCCTTTCTGTGGATCCCCCGTGGATTGGGTGATCTGCTTTGGGGCCAAAAAATGGCTCTTTTTCAAAACACCTCCTGGAGTAAAGAGACACGCTTAGTCCTCACCTGATATAAACAGCCTCTCTTCCTTCCCGGGCTGCTTCTCCGCTTCTTGTTTGTCACCCTTGTGTGTCGATTAATTTACGATATACGACACATCCCTCAGGCTGAAAAGACGGTAGATAAAGCGTGGTGAGTCATAGACGAAGGTGTAACTGGATATCTGGTCTAGGTTTAAATAATTCAGCTGGAGCTCTTATTTTTATTGTTATTTTTTCCCCTCGGACAGCTGTGTTTACAAGCGGGTGGTGTCTATTCCATGGGCCGAGACTGGAATTTCACCCAGGGTATTAAGATGCATCCCCAGTCCGAACTGTTCAAGAACGGCTGGTAGCCAGTCTCTGAGCAGGAATTCCTGTTTTGAGGTGGAAGAGCAGAACGGGAAATGGTCTGAATGACAGTCTGAGGTTCTGGGTTCCAGGACGGTGTGTGTGTGTGGGTGTTATTGCATGCAAGAAGTTCTTCGCAAACCAATTGGAAAGCAGTCCATATCTTACAAAAATCCTCTGCGTACATCGCTGGTGGGGCCACCCTTTGAAACGCCGGGCCCACTTCTGATCGTTTCCTCTCGGAAAGGAGCCTGTCCTTAATACGCTACGAAACCATTCGTGGTCGTTTCGAAAGTGTTATAAAGTTTTGCTCAGCAGATCAGGCCTCTGACGTTTTGTAATTTGAACAAGAAGAGGACGAGGCAGTTACTTTCTGGACTGGGCAGCTAGTCAGCTGGCTATCAAAGGATTCTGGGCATGGTAGTCACTTCCGCGACTCCCTGCTCTGTCCGTTTGCAGAAAAGAGGCTGATGAGGTTTGTCCCTGCGAAGGCTTCCCTTCCTTCTGAAAAGCAGCGCAGAAAAGAGGCTGATGAGGTTTGTCCCTGTGAAGGCTTCCCTTCCTTCTGAAAAGCAGGAGTATTTATTTTATTTTAATTAATTTATTTATTTATTTATATGCCGCCCACACTACCCGAAGGTCTCTGGGCGGCTTACAACATTTAAAATACAATAAAAAGGCAAAATAAAAGGGCAAAATATTTAAAATTAATAATTAAAATGTTTTGAGGCCCTTCCTCCAAGAAGGGCTTGCATTGCGTGAAAAAAGCAGGGTGTGTGTGTGGGGTGGGGAATACGGCTGAGCCCTTCAGAGCCTCTGCCCCAAGGGAAGAGGGATCTCGGCGAGGGGTCGGGCGTTCCTGTTTGGGCAGAAAGCCCTCGTGGGGGTGGGGGTGGGGAGTCTCCACCGCGATCGATCCGGGTGGAGGGAGGAGGAAGCGCCATAGCTCTGAGACGGGTCCTCTCTGGGCCATCAGCCAGCCTTGGCTCCTCGTGGCCGCCCGGAGAGTGGGTCAGGCTCCTTGTCTCTGCCTGCCTCTAGGGTGCGATGCGCAGCTAAGCTGAAAGGGTTGTCGTGTGTGTGCGGGTGTTTTTTTCCTTTTTGCTAGCGACATCAGAAACCGCTGCCTTAGCAACTGCTGCCTTCTTTTGCCAAGAGCCGGCGGGCGGGCGGGTGGATGGGTGGCGGCCGCCCTGCCGGCTTCTGCTGCTCTGCGTGCAGGCTCTGGCCGGCGTTCCCAGCCTGCTTTTCGCTCCCATGTCAAAGGGATTCCTTTGTACGGCCATGCCGGCGGAATCTCGCCGCTCCTTTGGCAGTAAGTGCGCTCGCCCAGGTTGTTGCTCGGAAAGAGGCAGCCCTCCCCAGCCCCAGCTCAGCCCCAGCCCAGCCATGGCTGATCCGCTCTCGGAGAGTTCCCCCGTTCTCGGACACAGGTGGGAGGCGGCCATTCCTTCCGAGGCTGCGTTGTTGTAAATCTGAGATAGAGTGACCGCCTCCATGCGGGCCATCCTCCCCTTGGCCTGGTATAAGCCTTCCTCGGACTCCTTGCCACGCAGGCGTGGCCGTCCGGCGAGCTTGAGAGGATGGTCATGCTCGCACGTGAGCCGAGACCAAAGGCGACCACCCCCCCACCCCCGGTCTTCCTGACCCGGGCCTTTAAAAGAAAGCCTTTTGCAACTTCTCCTGTCCTTCGGAAAGAGGCACATGTGTGCCTTTTGTGGAAGCGCGGCTGCAATTCCGAAGATCTCCGCGGCGGCCTGCTTCGTGAACAAGCCACCCTGCTGGCTCCTCCTGGGCCTTTTCACCTTTTTTTTGGGGGGGTGGTGGAATCTAACCGTTCATTATTTATTTTCCTGCTTCCTCTTCTCTCTTATCTTTCTTGGCTTGTCGGGGACTTTGATGTCTATCTTTGCTCTCTTTTTCTGTCCCTCCCTTGTGTTTATTTTTTGTTTTGTTGTTTTTTTGCCTCTGTTTTGCTCAGGTGGCTTCGGAGCTGCTCCAGTGTTTGGCAGCCCTCCCACTTTCGGGGGGTCCCCTGGGTTCGGAGGGGCGCCAGCATTCGGTTCAGCCCCAGCGTTTTCAAGCCCTCTGGGCTCGACGGGAGGCAAAGTCTTCGGCGAGGGGACAGCGGCCGCCAGCACCGGAGGATTTGGGTAAGCGGGCAGGAAAAAAGGGCGGGAGGCTGCCCCGGGGCAACGGAGAATACCCAGACCTCGGTTTCATGTCCTTTTGACAAGTCACGCCCGGCATTTCCATCCCTTTCCGCTCCCGTGACTTACGCGCAGAGCTAAAAGCTGTGATTTCCCAAGTTTCTGTTAGGTGCCGCCTGAAAGGAGAGCCCAGAGCAAGCTTGAGCCTTGACACTCAGTTCTCTGTGGGAGTAGCAACCATTTAAGCAGGGTGGCCCCCGTGCCCGCTTTTGGGAAGGGTAGCTCTCCCTTTGAAAGTTCGTTTGAAGGTGTCCTTTGCTGAATCACTCCGGGTTTTAGATCTCTGGCTACAGAGCCAGAGGTTTGGAGGAATTCAAAAATCCCACACTGGACCGCCTGCAAATAGAGCCAGCCTGGGTGGCCGTGGGCCAGCTGCACAGTCCCAAAGAAGAGAGGGGAGGCGTTCCACCGTTGGGGGTGCTAGGGCGGAAAAAAGGCCTATTTCTGGCCCTCCTTGACGCGGGGGTGTCTTTCTCTTTGGCCCCCCAGCTTCGGCGGCACAGCCAGCACTGCGTCCTTCGGGACGCTGGCGACTCAGAACACGCCAACCTTCGGATCCCTCTCTCAGCAGTCCGGAGGGTTCGGCGCCCAAGGCAGCGGATTCTCCGGCTTCGGGACAAGCGGAGGAGGTAAGGCCCTCTCTCGTCGGGGAAGCAGAGGGGGGGGGCTTGTGGGGAAGAAAGGCCCAGAGCCGCCTCGTTGGCCCCACGGCAGGTTTGGGGTCTTGGCAGCTCAGATTCCAGTCTCTCCAGCCGATCAGCCACTGGCCGGCTTGCGTAGAGTATATTTGTCTACCCTAGAGCTAGCTGGAGAGCTCCATGAAATTAGGAATCTGGCTGCAGAACCAGAGGTTCAGCGTTCCGATTCCCCCAATCGGAAGAAGAGCCAGCCTAGGTGGCCTTGGGCCAGCTGCCTCGAAATGTCCCCCAAAGGAGGGAAGGGGGGGACCACCTCTGAGTCCTCTCTACCTGGGAAACCCTGAAAAAGTTTGGCCATAAGTCAGAATCAGCTTAAGAACAGATAACTACAGTACTAATAAGATGGATCAAAGATCTGACTTGGGAGGTTTTTATAATAACCTGCTGGTTTTGGGATGAAACAAGAGTTCCATTTAAACTGGCCGGTAGATTAATTAGGAGGTGCAGCTGCTGCATCGAGGGGTTGCCGTGTCGAGTAGGGTGTGGGAACTGAACCCCCCGTAGGATTCCCTCTGTAACGAAGCCTTTTCCTCCTGCATTTTTCTCTCCTGCAGGCTTTGGCTTTGGCTCACCTAACACGTAAGTCCCCCATCATTGTTTTATACGCTTGTGTGTGTCTTTCTCTGTGTGTGTGTATATATATATATGTAAGAGTGAGTGAATGTGTGAGAAAAAAAGCTTCTTTTGGAGTGAAATAATTTCAAACATGGTAATCCCGGTCGAACTTTGAATCAGCAAGAGATGATTCAGGCTTTGTTCACGCTCTTATTTCTCCTTGTAAGAGCAGGAATAAGAAGCTTAAGTTCTCAGTGGCAGCAGTTCCCCCCGTGGAGCAGCTTTTTTGGGGGTGGGGGGGATGGCTACCAAAACAGGGGCCTCCTGAGGAGCCCAAGACGGTCGTCTGCCTTGTCGCGGGCCACGTGCAAAGGGATTTCGAGACCTTGAAAAAGTCCCTGTCTTCTACCTACAGCCCCCAGAACTCACACCATAGCATAGCTTGATCTTAAAAATGGGTGGGGGGGGCCCAAAACCCCAACCTGGATTGTTTAGTTCAGGTAAGAATGGTGGCCCAGGTTGCTTCTCCATTCCACCCCTCATCAGTTCCGAAACCCCTGGCGCTGTCCACGGGTGTGGGTGTGTGTGTGTTAGACTACACTTCCCAGAAATCCACAGCCCATTAGGGAAGGGAGATTCCCAAATATCTGTCCGGCTCCAGGACGGGAAAGGCTGGCCCCAGGTGTCCTTCTTTCAAACCATTTGGCAGTGGCTCTCCCTTCAGCTTCTAGGCCACCTGCGAGCGAGCGAAGGCCTTTCGCACCAGCAGAGGGAGAGGTCGGTCTGACCCACTTGTTTTCGCATTGTGTCTTTTAGATCCAGTTCTGGGTTCAGCGGCTGGAGAAGCTAAAGACAGAAGCCGAGAGACCTCGCCCGGCGGCTGTTGAGAGGACGGGAGCAGGTTGGGGCCCCCCCAGAGACCGACCTGAGTGAAAGGCTGGGGATGAGGGCATGTTTGAGGACCCACCTTTTCCGACTTCCTTTTTATTTTATTTTTTTGTACAAACAAAGTGTTGAAAAATGCCTATTTTTTTTAAACGGGGTTGTTACTCCTCCTCCCTAAATAAACTATTTTCTCTGCGTCCGTGCTGTTGACATTCACGGCGGTGCTTGTGAATCCATCTCGTGAGTCTTTCGTAAAATACTGTATCTTGTTTCTGCGGGGTTGGTAGAAAATGGGGAGGGAGTGGATGTTTTCGAAGTTGGCAAAGCTGGTTTATTTTATTTATTTCACTGGTAGGCAGCCAGCCACCCTCCAGATATTGTTCGAAGGCAAGCCCTAGCCCTCGTAGCCAGTGGTGGGGGATGTCCGACGTTCCAGTCCAGTCACATCTGGAGAGCTGCCCCTGTCCACCCCTATTTGCTTTTATGTTCAAACAAGGAGACAAGCGGTGACTTTTATAGGAGGAAGGAAAACGGCCGTTGTCCAGGTGGAAATTGGGAGTCCTAAGCTATGGAGGCAGGGGGCGGAACAATAACAGGGAGGGCGACAGGAAGAGCAGCTGGGAAGAGCCATGCAGGTACCCAAGAGGGAAACAGAAGGGGGCAAAAGGCAGGCTTGGGGGGGGGGGATTTCATGTGACCTCCCATTGCGCCTGCAAGGCTGGTTTTTTGCAGCCTTGAGTCCTTTCCTGCACCCCTCCTTTTCCATTAAAAAAAAGGGGGAACCAAGTTATTTCTCCCCCCCCCCTTGTTTAAATCCTCCAAATTCCTGTTTTTCAAAATGAGGACTTCTGCCCACTTCGAGTTTCATCTTTAGCGTTTTTTTAGCAGCCTGAGCTGTTCCGGGTGGATCCCGCAGACCGAAAATGTGATCCCCAAAATTGCTTATCCTCATCCTAGAATATCCATATTCCAGCCCCGTCTTTTACGAACCATCGTTTATCATTAACGGGCACAGCCAAGCCCAGGTCTTGCCCTTGCGCCCGGCTTGTGGGCTTCTTGGCAGTCTCTGTAAAAAACAAGGCATTGGAGGAGGGGGCTCTTTTTATGTCACAGTATTTATATGCAGGATTGTTTTCTGCCTATGTCATAATCAACATTGTTCCTAAACTTTGCCCCCTTGAGAAGCTGCTGATAGAACAAGCCCGAGGGACCCTCCCTCTGAGTTGCAGTGCAGGCGACTTTTATGAAGAAAGATCCGGGAAGCCTTTAAGTCTACTTCCAGTCCCTGGTGACTCACCCCCGAGACAGAACAGGAACTGCTTGTAGGTACGTAGATGGCTTTCCGAAGACAGGCAAGGAAGGCTGCCCCCCCCTTTGAATGTATCTCAAAAGTACAATCCAGCATCAAATATTAAAGCCATAAATCACTTGAAAATTGTTCATAGTCGGTCAGAGAGAATCTTAAGCAAAAAGCCACTCGCTGGTTGGTGCTGAAATCAATCAAGAAATATAATTAAACCCCGTTCACATACCAAAAAAGATCCAAGGAATGATGATTTATTTCTCGGATGCAACTTAGGCACGCTGGAATAAGGTGGTGGCTAGCAGATTTTGTTTGGGGGAAATGAGATGGTGTGTTGTTTAGCTTTTGAAAGAATAGAGAGAGGATTATGGGTTTACCGCCGCCTGTCCTTTCACGGTGTAGTAGCCAGTCGCACCCTTGATGCATTTCCAGGCTTTCCAAAGCTCTGCAGATCAGGAGCCACGTTCCTCTTGCAAAGAACAGGCGGTGTTTTCTTGCAAATAGTGCCTTTCTCAAAAGGCTGCTGCTACTGATGTCTGTATTCAAAGGCTTCCTTTTGTGTGTGTCATGAAATGGAAGCACGTTTCTGGATGTGTGTGTGTGTGTGTTTGTTTCTCCTCTAAAAATAGCACTAATTTACCTTTATTGCAACTTCTGGGTTTACATGACACTTCCAGAGCAAAGCTTGACTAGTTTTTTGTCTTATGTCTGATTTTACTGCCTCGTTTCCCCTGTCCTAGATTTAAGGAGGTTGCCGTTCTCTGTGCGCTTTGAATTTTTCATGGAGTGCTGCTGTAGTAGCCGTGGATTTATTTCTTTTTAAATATATGTAAAGTCACCTGGCATCAATGTCAACCATGACTTACCTGTATATGACAGCAAAGAGTCCAGTGGCACTCCGCAGGCTAACGAATTGATTCTATGTAAAGAAGAAAAGCCAACGTGATGTGGTCTCTTCATGGCGAATGGATTTATTTCAATTTCGCAGACGGAAATCCACTTCCTCTGACACATTTCATTTAGTCTCAGTCTAAAAGAAAATGGGGTATGACAGCAATTGCATTGTTGACATTGGTAGTGAACCTTCAAAGTGTTGGTTGTGTCTATTTTGTATCGTCACATCGGAAGCGACGTAAAGCAACCCTAATATGGGTTTCAAGGTAAGAGATATTTAAGGAGTGGTTTTACCTGTTCCGTGCTCCCCATAAATTTCCATGGCCAAGCAGGAATTCAAACTCTGTTCTCCAGAGTCCTAGCCTGTCACGACACAGGGAATTAAAGTGTGGATTAATCTACTGGAAAAAGCTAATTTAATTTTTCTGTCCAGTGGTAAGCAGCAATTGGGCATTGAAGTGTAGCTTGGCTTCTTCCACCTCCCCCTGAGGTCATGGTTTCCGTCGTCGTAGCGCTCTAACAGTTAAGAAGTTTTTCCTGCTATTCTGAGCAGGACCCCATTGCGAGTCCCGCAGTCTGGGATAACTGAGAACAGATCCTGCCCCTTCCTCTGTGTATCAGCCTTTCCCGTCTCTTTGTACATGGAGAAGGTAACTGCAGAGAGTGGAAAACCAGACGCCCCTTCGGTGCGTTAGGTACAACTGAGGTAGATCATACAGGGTCATACTTTTGTCATGCATCAACTCTTCATGGCTGGATGCGATCGATGTGGGGTGTAGGCAGATAAACGCTATAAAAAGCCCGTTAATCTTTAAGGCACCTCAAGACCCTGCTGTGTTTACAGTTCGCTTCGGCATATTTAAAAAAAAAGCTGCTGCAGCTGTCGTGCCCCGGGAAACTATATACGGGAACACCAGTCATTTTAAATGTGGGCCTCCTACCTTTCCGGGTTTGGTAGAAAAGTGACTCAAAATACAGAGACGGACGAGGACGTGTGTGTGTGTGCGCGTGGGACGGAGACAGAAAGGCGGTGGGAGAAATTGGAAATTCCTTCTCTAGATATTTTGATACTTCTCTTATCCACCCCCACCCTACACGTTTTGTTAAAAATAGATGTTGGTCCCTCCAAAGTTGTTGCCCACGACATTCCTTGCGTGGATGCGGCCCGTCTTCCATTTCATCTGTCTTTTTCCAAATACCACGCCGGCCACTTCTTGTGGCCGGTGGATGGCGCAGTTTGAGTTAATTGCCAAGAAGACCAAGGTACGTATAATGGGGAGTTATTGGAGTCCCCAAAGTTTGGGAGTCGTAAACTATTTCTAAGTGATTTCTTCCTATAATCGGGATTGAATGAATTAATTAATTGCACTGTGATTCAGTCAGAGATCTCTTCCCTCTTTTTTTTCTTACAGTATCATTACTTTTAAGTAACTTCTGAGAAATAATGGAGGAAGGTTCTCGTGTGGCTCCAGCGCTGACTAATGTGGCTGAATGACAAAAAAAATAAGTGGATCATTTTAAAAAATCCAACTAGGAAGCTATTGCCTGTTTTTGTGACATTTATGCAGTAGGGGAAAAACATTGTTAGGTCTCATTGAGCTGTGTCTGAGACCCAATGAAAAGCCCTTGTCATTCCCGGCCCTCCTTGGCCATGGCTTCCTTTACTGGGTCAATCCATCTCATGTTTCATCTTCCTCTTTTCCTACTGCCTTAAAATTGTCTAAGCATTGCTGGCTTCCAATTTTTAATATACATACATAGCAATGTCGGCTGCTTGGCAATTGAGTCTAGAGTTTCTTCCCCTTTAAAGCTTAGAATGGGGGTGAAGGTTAGGAGCCTCTGAACGGCATTCCAGCTCAGCAGTTGCTCCGAAGTCTTGTCTCCCTGGAACCCCGTCTGGTTTTTCAGCACGACAGGTGTTGCAGCTTGTGGGTGAACTCCGAGAGAGAGCATCTTTGGCACGCAAGACCGAGCGGATGCAGGATTGGAACCTCCGAGGAGGGGGTAGCTCAGCCCTGCCTCGCATTCTTTGCAAGGGTGAGAGAGAGAGAGAAAACCTCTGGGCCTCCAGATGTTGCTAGACAGACTTCCGGTGCCATCCTCTCTGTTGGTGGGCTGTTCCAGCTGTGGTTGATGGTGAGAGGTGGGGGTCTGAGAACATTTTCTGCCTTCTAAATTTTTGCTGGATAGCTGAGTGGCTTAGGTGTTTCTGGCTGCAGAGCCAAAGGTTGGGAGTTCGATTCCCCCACCGTGGCAGAAGAGCCAGCCTGGGTGGCCTTGGGCCAGCTGCACCGTCCCAAGGATGCCCCCTAGAGGAAGGGAAAGGGTCACTGTATAGGCCAGCGCTGACTTATCGGTGGTGCATGGTTATTGTGACCTTTCTGTACCCTGGATCGAAGCCCTGGTCCCCTGGCCTTAGTTCTGGCCGAAGCTGCATCTCTGATGAGCCGCTCGCTATCCGGAGGCTGCTCATGGCAGACAGGCCACTTTTGAGGTCCTTCTTGTGGTTCTTAAACTTTAGATCCAATCTGGGGCGAGGCGTCCCTTCAAATAATGGAAACTTTCAAAAAGAAAGGTGTTTCTCCAGTAGTTCCTCAAATAAAGGACTGGTGCCTAAGCATTGATGTGAGGGGAGAGAGGATCCCGCCCCAACGCCCCCCTCCCTGGTGCTCTGTCCCAGGACTTTGGGATATATCAGGAGATGGCAGAGGTTTGGGGGACGGCCGAGACAGGGCGGCTTGTCATCTAATCCTGCTTTGTTCGCTTTATTGATTTCTTAGCCACTTCTCAAGATCCTGATCTCCCCAAAACCGGATTACAGAATCCAACACAATACAACAGGCACGTTAGTACAGTCTGATGACACGTAAGCCAGATTGTTTAAAAAAAATACTATTTAAAAATAACCTGAATAAGAATCCTTGGGGTGGTCCCCCCCCTTCATTTATTTTAAGGCAAGTTCAGCAACGGTGTTTCCTGTGTTTGGCCCGCCTATTGCAGGGAGCTCTGCAGTTTGACTCCAAACGGCCAGCGTTGCTA